GGCGAGGAGATGCGTGCCTCGATGTGAGTGATATTGAGCTGGCCACACCCAGCCAATAACATGACCATGAAGCCACACACCCCACCTAAGCCACACGCACAGAACTGGTTGTTAAAAATTTGAATCCCACCCCTGATAATAAGCAAATTAAAATATAGGATGTATTATGTAAGTCTGCAATCCACATTTGAAATAGGACCAGATTTTTCTGTCTAACAATTTATAGTTAATATTGCTGGAGAGACAAAACACTACAGAAAGCATATTTTTGGTCATATCCCAATTGCATTTGTGTTTTTTGTAATAGAATTATAGAGATGGAAGAGACCTCTGGCACCTGATCCATTCCCATGGTAAGTGCCAAGATATACTAAACCATTTCAGACAGATGGCTAACCATCTCTATGATGACCTCCAGTGAAGGAAAATATGACAACTATTAGACATGTGTAGACTGTGAAAAAAAAAACCTCCTTTCAAGTTTCTGTTCTGGAGTTTAAGTATATCTAATCATTTTAATTGTTACTTATATGATTTCATTTCTAGTCCCCTCATCATCTTCCCTCATGCCGGAGTGGCTGGCACGACGGAAGGAGAAGGAGCAGGGAGAAGAAAGAGGGAAAGCGTCTTTCTCCTTCCCTCGTGCTGGCCGCTCCATTGCCCATTTCTCCATTGCAGTGCAGTACAGCGCAGCGCCCAGGATCCACTGTCATAGTGTGAGGTAGGTAATTTAACAACCGGCTTGCTTAAACTGGTGCGAACCAGCTGAATCCCACCATTGTGTGCAGTACCCCAGACTACAGTCAGTATTCCAAATGTGGCCCAATCAAGAGTGAGACTTCTAATGATATGCATCCCTTGTCCTTGTCAATACAGGTAGGCCTCAACTTACGACCTCAATTCAGCCCAAATTTTATTTCGTTAAGTGAGAAATTCCTTAAGTGAGTTTGCTCCGTTGTATGACTTTTCTTGCCACGTTTGTTAAGGGAATCACTGCAAGTTCTTAAATTAGTAACAGTAGTTAAGTGGATCTGGTTTCCCCAGTGACTTTGCTTGTCAGAAGGTCACAAAAGGCTATCACGTGACCTTGGGACACTGCAACCGTCATAAATATGAGTCAGTTGCCAAGCATCCAAAAGTTTAATCACGTGACCACGGGAATGTTGCAACAATCATAAAGGTGAAAAAATGGCCATAAGTCACTTTTTTCAATGCCGTTGTAACTTTGAATGGTCACTAAATGAACTGTTGTAAGTCGAGGACTACCTGTATTGTCTAAACAGGCACTTGCCATTTTAGCAGTTGCATCATCCTGTCAACTCATGTTTTCGACTTGTGATCAGTTAGAATACTCCAATTATTTTCAAATCTACTACTGCCTGCCATGTTAGTTCTCCCCAGTCCTATACATGTGCTTTTCATTTTTTTTATTACCCATTGAAACTCTATACATTTTATTCTGTTTGTTTAATTCCATTGTTCAAGCCTGCCTAGGCCTTTTCAAAAATTTTCTTGTTCTTATTTTCTAACTGTTCTGTTTAGTTTTGAATCATATGTGAGAACGTAAAGCATTTTAAAAAGGGAAATCATGGTTAACCCATTAGGTTTTCCTAGAAAATACTTTTAGGAACAGTGGTTGGCCAATCATGTCTTTCTTTTTTTCTCTGTCTCTACCCTCTAGTTGTTCTGGTCAGTCTCAATTTAGCATAGCTTAATTGCAGGTATGAGGAACAAAATAAAGCTGTAATCGCCAAGCTTAAGGTGTTTAACTGAAATTATTCTTACAGATGTTAATGAGACCTCTGATAAATGAAAGGAATTAGGATTGTGAGTTGTTTTTGACTGCGGAGAAATGTTATTAACACCAATAATCTGAAAGGCCTCAAACCGATTTGCTGTAAGTTATTGATGACACCGCTTTTAATTTTTTATATCTAGTTTCCTTTGGAGGATAGTGCATAAAATCTAGATAATGCATACCTAGATTTCTGCATACCTAGGTACTGCATACTTAGAAAAATAAAATAATAGTATTTATTTTAAAAAACACAACTGTTTCCATTTGCTACTATATTAGCCACTACTATAACAGTGTACTTACTGATGCCTACACATCCAAAGACAAATAAGAAAAGAAAATGAAAAATAAATTTAATTTCAAGATTCTATCTGTAGAAGCTTTGTGTAATTCACAACACAGATTTCACCAGAAAACAGAATGAGAGCCCCAAGGAAATTAGAAAAGTAAAAGAAAAGACATATTGTCTCATAGCATTTATTGCTTAAATTTTCAGGCATTATTAAGTATTGGCATTAAACAGTTAAAATGCATGGTGAAATACATACTAAAATGATATGTTATTTTGCAAAAGGGTTGTTAAAGATTGTTTTGCTATGGTGCATTTAAGCAAACACGTTTAATCAAAAAGAGTTTCTGTATAGCTTCTGTATCCATCACTTCAATGGATTTTTTAAAAAAGTCCAATTACTAAAGGCAGCTCTACCATTTCCTGAGGCAGCCTGACCCAATAGAGGTTGACTAGTGCTCAGCTGGAATCTATGCTGTGAGTATAAAGTTTTTGTAGATGTTGGAAATACTTTCCAAGTTTCCACCCATGGAATATTCGGCTTCTTTGGCTCATGTTGCATGCAAAAGTTTGAATTTTGCTTTATGTATTCCTTCCTATTTATATGTGGCATTTGAACATCTTGACATAATTTTCCAACTACTAGAAAAACCTTGCATTGAGGACATTTTGTGAGAATTTGAAGAACACTAGTTTGGGCAAAGTTTCAAATGGCTATGTCAGGGGCCTTCAAACTTGACAGCTTTAAGACTTGTGGACTTTAACTCCCAGAATTCCTCCTCCAGTCATGTTAGCTCAGGAATTCTGGGAGTTGAAGTCCACAAATCTTATACTTGCCAAGTTTGAAGACCCTTGGGCTATATGATGGTGATGATTAGCCAAACAAATGCCTGTGGAGATTCTTAATCATTTAGCTCATGATTATCCCAAAGGTACTTTCAAAGGGCAACTTGACTTTCTTGGTTTTTTTCTCTTGAACTGAGGAAGCTTCTTGGATGAGAACAAACTGTTTTCAAAGAAAAAAAACCAAGGAAGTCCAGTTTTCTCTTGAACTGAGGAAGCTTCTTGGATGAGAACAAACTGTTTTCAAAGGAAAAAAAAACCAAGGAAGTCCAGTTGTTTTTTGAAAGCATCTTTGGGACATTAGCCAAATAAACTAACAGTAAACATTCCTCAGCTATGCTGGCGAGGAATTCTGGGAGTTGAAGTCCACAAGTCTTAAAGTTGACAAGTTTGGGGACCCCTGATATAAATTGAAGCAAGCCCCATTCCCTACTAGCTTTGACAATGTTACCTAGTTTGGGCAATGAAACATCTGTAAGAAAATAGATTAATAGAGTTGGAAGGAACCAATGTAGGTCACCTAGTCGCAACCAAGCTCAGAGAGCACCAAGGACCCTTTATTTCAATCCTGAGCTATAAATACTCTCCTGTATTGCTACGGTAATGATCTTTCATTAGTGACTTTAAATGGTGATCTCAGTTTGAATGTGGAATCTTAAAAAAAAAAAGCTACATGCTCTTATATGGAACAATATTTTTTCCATAGTAGGTAATGCCAATATTTCCAGTTCATATATATACTTTTATACTTTTAGTCATTTGTTGTTTAATTATGTTGAGCAAAACCTCAAACTTCTAAATACCAGAAAATTGCACTGAACAAATGTAACCACAAGCCATTACACAGAGGGGAATGGCATTGTGTTTCTTCAAGAACTGGGTTCATTGGATGATGGTTAAGTCATTGGGAAAAGCAAGTTAAAGTATAATCTCCTTCACCTGAGCTATGTCATCTTGCATTTCCAGTGGACTACTTCTTTGGGTAGTCCAACAGATCAGGTTGATCTACCTGCTACTATGACTATTGTCAGCTGAAGCCATTGGTTTCTTTAGACTGATCAAACTTTACAAATGCTTAGAGGTACAATCATTTCTATATTCCAAATGGTTTTGTGGAAGAGCAGTAATGCAGAATATTAACTCTCTATATACTCTGGTTTTAATACTTAATTCTGACTACATTCCTGCCAATAGTCCTTTGAATCCTCTTCTTCCTTTTCCCAAATTTGCTGTCATCTTGCCTATATTCCTTTTCTTATTCACTGAACTCTCTTTGGTCTAGATCAGGGTTTCAAACTGGTGGCCCGTGGGCTAGATGCATCACACTGGCCACACCCACTCCCAGTTTAGAGAAAGGGAAAAAAGTCACGATATGTCACGTGATGACAATGTGATGTTGAGTTTGACACCCCTGGTCTAAACACATCATCCAGAGCCCAATCTTAATAAGGCTTACTGCATGTTTTCATAGATTGATGAAATCTGGTCTCCTCTGGAGTGCTTAGGAAGAAATGCCAAGCCCAGTATAACCCATTCACTTTTCTGTCTTACCCCGTTCCAATTTTGGGTTGCAATGTAGAAATACATTGATTCTGTCAGCCTTTTGACATTTTGCATACACAGGCACATATGTTTTTATCAGATCATCCCAATGCTCTAATTCAATTCAATTGTACAGGAAGGTGCACACTGGACCTGACAATCTACCTAATTCTGTCATATCAAAAATAAATTTGCATATTTTAAAATATGTAAGAAAAAATATATAAAAAGTTTCTGAAATATACTTAGTACGTAGATAGATGATCTCCACTTGGTATACCAAATTGACAGAAATGCTTGTCACAATTCTCTTATGTGTTTCAAAATTTATCTGCATGCTTCTGCTTACACAATTACCATTTCTTTATCCTCCTTCAATAAATGCACTATTCCCCCATGATGTTCCCAACATGCGGTTGATATTTAGAAGATTATATATTAATTTGCTTAGCCATGATGACTGTAATTTTTAAAGTATCAGAATTATACCCTGCGTTATTAGCATTTTAAATTTCATTGAAAACTTACATGGTGCTGTCACCCAGTTCTTCGTAGAGATTATTGGCAGGGATGCTTGCTGATTTGCCAGCTGGTAGGGCCATCTGGATGCGAGCTGTCTTTGCACATTCAGCTTGTCTCCTTTGGTGAAATCATATGGGGAAGAAGTGAAGAGATTTGAAGGGAATCGAAGAATGTTTCTAACAAGCCCACATTGGTAGAAATAGTCATGCGGAGAATTCATCAGAGAGTTTCACCTGATAATTGATGCTAATTCTAAGCATTCAAAAATACTGCAAACAGAATAAAATCTGGCTTCTTGATGCAGATATACTCAGTTCTCTTACAATGGACTATTGTGTTTTTGTGCATGATTGACTAGAAAGTTCTGGAAAAGCTGAACAATGAACTCCAGTTCTCTAAAATTAATAACTGGGATATTTAAAACTATGAATTTACCTCCCATATTCTTAATATCTAGGCCAAGGAAAGAAAAGGGGCTGGGATTATAGAGTAGATATATATCTCAAGAATTACTACTGAATCAACAGATTTACCTGTATTAGGTTAATATTCTGGGATTTTAAATCAATATACAATTAGTCTGTGTTTTCCACTTGTCTCCCTAGTCAGATTTATGATTCTACCTTTCACATAAAATGACTTTTTTTTCATTAGCACAAACACTTGTGTTTCAAGCGCATTTTCAATGAAGTGTTTATTTAAACAAAATTTACTTACACATTTTACAATGTGAATATAATCCAATCTTAATATTATAATTTGGGATTATAGAATTAAATCACATTAGATATTAAAACTTGTAAAGTGACACATCACTTAGGTGAATACCTTGCCTTGGTGAAGTAGCAAAATAATCTTAAAATGTTTAGCATATTTATAAATTTGGGAAAGCTTGAGAGTTTTCAATCACTATGTACTGATACACACATATCCTTCTTTTTGAAATCATTGTACCCAAATAAAAGCTAAACTTTTGCATATTCATACATGAGACAAATAAAGTTTAAAAATAAAATACTTACTCTTTAAATCTGTTTTGTAATGCAGAATGGTAAAACAGAAATAAGAGAATAAACAGTGAGATTCACATAGAAAAATAATTCAAAAAATCCTTATAAACTTTATAGGCTATATATTTTTTAGGACTGTATCCTCAATCTTTATTGTTTTGACTAACTCATCGAAGATATTTTAATTAATTAAAAGGATATTTTTAATTAGGCGATCTTTAATTTAAAAATAGCTATTTAGTTGCAATTAACCTTGTGATAACTGCTATCCAACCACCATCTACAAAAAGCCCCCCTTCCTTTGAAAGAGCCATAGAATAATATATCCTTCTATGGGCAAGCTAAAAAGAAGGGAGAATATTTTATTAAAAAATGGATTTATGCAGGTTTAGTAGATTCAAACTAACACTAGCTAACTTTTAATAAAGGAGTAACCTGATAGGTTATTGTGAACTAAAAAAATATTACATCATTGGGAAAAAGAAAACTTCTTCCATCTGATGGAATAAGTCAGACTTGTTGTATCAACATTATTGCCAGGAGGTATAATGGCTTAGCAGTTAAAGACGGAGAGCTTGTCGGCTGGAAAGCTAACAGCCTGGGTTTGAGATCCAAGTGTCGCCAATGGGGCAAGTGCCCATCTTGCCTAGCTCCTGCCTGGCAAAATCATGAAAATGCAAGTAGATAAATAGGTATCACTTTGATGGGGAGGAAAAGGCACTTTGTGACTTTGTGCTGGCCACATGACCATGGAAACGTCTTCAGATGGCACTTGAAATGGAGATGAGCACCGCCCCCTATAGTCAGCAATGACTAGCCGAGTACAATCCGTGGGGACACCTTTCCTTTCCTTTCTTTCCCGGGTGCTGGTTTTGATTTTTAAAACCCTCCATGGGATGGGGCAGGGTTATTTGAAGAACCTTCTTCCCTTCATTACATCTGCTCATCCAATCAGATCTGGCAAGAGAGGCATGCTACAAGTCCTGTCTCTCTAGAACAGGAGTGTCAAACTCACGGCATCTTGGCAGCATCGCGTGACATATCGGGACTTTCCCCCCCTTTGCTAAACTGGGCATGGGAGGGACTGGCATGTGACTCATCCGGCCCGTGGGCCAGGAGTTTGACAGCCCTACTGTAGAAGGTGGGGATGGGCTTTATTTTCTGGAAGTCCCTCATCAGGCCTGGGGGTGGTGGTGGTCTCAGGGAGGTGATGGGTTGCTGATCGGATCTCATGTGTGTCTATTTGTGGCTGTGTTTGCTTTTATACTTCTTTTTCTTTTGCCTATGTGCCAGTCAGGACAATTTCTTGTGAAATTTTAATAAAATTTTAATAATTTTAATAAATAAATAAATAAAAATAAATAAATAAGTAAGTAAGTAAGTAAATAAATAAATAAATAAACCAAATAGTCTGGCTTCAGGGACCAAATAGAAAAGCCATGTGCTTCTTTCTATAAGTCTGTCTGCCAGTGTAATATTTTACCCTGTTTGATAATAGGCTATTCCGTTCAATCCTTTTCTGAAACTCTTGCATTGGAAGTTATTCTGTGTGGACAAGACCTAGAGGTTGCACATCAATTAAAGAGGGAGGAGAATCTACTTGATCATATAGTCCTGGCAGTGACCTACCATGGTTTTATTAAAATGTTCACAGCGACATATAAATTTGGGCTTTTTTTCAAATTGTAACACTGCACAGCAGGAGTGAAAATTGAACATCAAATAGCGGAAGGACTCCCACAGTTACAACATACTTCTATATCAATTATTACAATTACTTGTATTATTCTATTTCTTATATACCTAATTAATTTTTTAATTTTTTTTAAATCCTTTGGCCGTAATAGTCATTCATTCATTCACTTACATTTACATCTCCATGTACATAAATGTTAGCACAGACAGACTGTACACAAATCTGTACTTGCATTTTTCTTCCAGATTTTAAATCAGACAATGTTAGACAATTTTTAAAATAATGGAATATCTCCGAGGTTCTTTTCTATATGTCTATTATGAATATTCATTTATTAAATTTTAAAACCATCCATTTCCCTCCTAGAGGGATTCTGGGCAGTCTACAAATAAAATATTGAAAAACATTAAGTAGTAAATATATCACTTGCCCATTATTAATTCATTTATCTTTGGCTCATAATTATTATTTTCTTTCTCTGTAGAATATTGAAATTTCAAAGGTACTGCTACATAGGAAATAACAATGCTTCCTTTTTATTATTTTCCTACAATGCTACAACAATACTAATTCCCATGGGCAAATAAGCGATTGAAAATTCATTTAACTTTACAGCCTTTTAAAAAAATAATCTGGAAAAAATCATTGAGTGTTAAACAAATTGGAATGTTAAACAAACTGTATTGAAAAATGTTTTATTACAAACTGAATGCTTCCATTTTATGGGTACCAGTAATGATGGTTAATTTTTCCACTATGTAGCAGACTTCATCTGTTATTTATAGCATTTATAGCTGTTATTCATCAGCATTTATAGCTGCCAATTAAGGCATAAGAAAAGCTACAGAAAAAGAAAAATAGATACGTTTCCTAAATTATTTAAGTCAGGCCATAGAAGAATTTTCAAGATTTTGACATTCCTTTGAAAAAAAAAAATCGACCTTCACTTTGGTTTTTTCTTCAGGTGGTCACTATGAATTACTTTAGATATTTGAATGAAAGAAAAATCTTGCTGAAGTATTACTGGTTAGAATGGCAATGCTTCAAAAATAACATATAATGAGCTGAGTCAGAACAGGGCTTGTCAAAACCTTTGTCTCATATAAGAAAGTCAGCATGGGATGAAAACAGTTCTCTGTAGCTCAGCTGATTACATGCTGGTTTGCAAGTATAGCTAGCAAGTTAGCAATGTGTAGTCAAAGCTAGCTTTATGTTCTAGTGCAGTGGTCCCCAACCTTTTTTATGCCGCGGCCCGGTACCGGCATCAGCTGGGCGCCGCCATCTTGTTTTGATGAAAAAGTGCTTCCGGTGAGCTCACCGGAAGCACTTTTTCATCAAAACAAGATGGCAGCGCCCAGCAAACCAGCGGCCCGGTAGGATTTGTTTCACGGACCGGTACCAGTCCGCGGACCGGTGGTTGGGGACCCCTGTTCTAGTGGGCCTCTTTATTGTTAGGCTTTCTAACACAGATATCTGCTAAGCAACGCATAGACACATAGATGAACTTCGCTATGAACTGAATCTTTCCTGTTACATCAGAACATCAGTCATAAGAGATAGCCAACAGTCTCTACATAGTCCTTGACCTATCATCATCAATTCAGTGAATATTCAAAATTACAATTGTGCTGAACGAAGGAACTTAGAACTTGTGCCTAAAGTCACAGTCCTCGCAGCATCTTTGCAGTCACATGATAGCAATCTGGGTACTTGGCAATTCATTTGCACTTATGACTGATTGCCAATTGGCCTGTAATCCTGTGATTGCCATTTGCAATCTTCCCTGCTGGCTTCACCAGAAAGTCCATGGGGAAACCGGAAGGAAAAATCACAAACTGTTGTCACCTGACAAAAGGACTCTTTTTAGTTTCTGAGGGCTGATTGAAAAAGGTCACTGATGAAAACCAATCAAGACTGTCAGTCATGGAATGGAAAGGCTTGTCTACAGAACCTCCCCCCAAAATCATATGCATGTAATAAACTTATGCACAGCCTGCACCAGGTCTCCCATTCCACTCAGGCATCCCTGTACACCTTACCTTACAGTACTGCCTCACCCTCCTAGTTGTATTTCAGCAGGGAGAATTTTTAGCTCTGGAGCATAGAGATTTGTCAAGACCTGAAAATCCTCCCTGCCAAAATCCAAGCAGAACAGAGAGGCAATATGGTAAGGAGTGCAACATGTCTCTGGGAATGTGGAAGGCTCTGGGAGGGCAGCATGAGTTGGGGTTGGGTGCTGTGAAGAACTTCTGGAGCTGAAATTCTCCCTGCTGAAATCCCATCAGAGCAGAGAAACAGTGCAGTAGGTTAAAGGTGTTAGGTGTTTTAGAGGGGCACCTCAGTGGGATGTAGGAGGACTTGGGAGAATCAGCACAAGCTGTGAGTGAATTAGGGGTGCTGTCGATAAGTCTCTCTACTCTGTAGCTGAAAATAGAGATAGCAACAGCACTTAGACTTATAGAGTGCTTTCCAGCCCTCTCTAAGCGGTTAACAGAGTCAGCCTATTGTCCCCAACAATCTGGGTCCTCATTTTATCCACCTTGGAAGGATGGAAGGCTGAGTCAACCTTGAGACTGGTGAGATTCGATTTGCCAAATTGCAGGCAGCTGGCAGGCAGCAGAAGTAGCCTGCAGTACTGTATTCTAACCACTGCGCCACCGCAGCTCATCCTCCCAGAGAAATCAAAGCAGGATTTTCAGACCCTGAATGGAGAGACTTGCCCACGGTATGCCCCACCCAAATTTGTTCTCAGCCAGCCCCAAGATCTCCCAGGGCCTCCTCCACCCAACTGAAGCACCCTGTGCCCCTTACCTAGGATACTGTGTACTCAATGACCTGTGAGATAGCTTAACAATGGCAACTGGGAGTGCTGGGATTGCTGTCACTGAGTGAAGTGAACATGTGAGGATTTCTTCACCCAATGACTTAGATTTTGGTCCCAGTTGTGACGGTAGGTAAGGTCTGCTTGTGCCAGTTGGGAGGGAGGGTTCAGTATATATACTGCCATATTTCAAATCTTATTCAATCCTTCACATGGAATTGTTCTCCTTTTCTTACTTCTAGTGAACAACTGTTCACTAGAAACACTTGCATGTTTCATTTCTCTGTATTCTGTTCTTATGACTAGGTATTTCCCAAAAGTTAACTTAAGATACTGTCTTTACATTAACAGAGAATAATATTTATGCCTTTGAAGTAAACATATGCAGAGTGGCATAATAAGGAAGAAGTGAAACTGGAGGGCAATTTGCCTTGAATATGGTTTGAATCAACCAGGTGATCATAACCCACTGAAATAAATGAAGCTCAATAATGACAATCATGATTGCATATCATACTGAACAAAATAATTAAAGAGCCCTTGTCCTCAGCTAACATCCATTTGTTCAGTGACTATTCAAAGTTGTGACAGTGCTGAATAAGGAAACCTCAAAGTTCTCACCATTGCGGAGTCCCTGCAGTTATATGATTGTGATTTGGACACTCGACACTTAGCTGCAGTTACATGATTGTTGATGTTTCCTATGGGTTTCCCACAAGCAAAGTCAACAGGGAAACTGGAAGGAAGTTGGAAGTTCTCACTTAATGATAGAAACTGGGACTGCCGAGAACTGCCACTGCTAAGCAACGAATTCACATGATGTTGCACCCCATCACTTAGTGACAGCAATTCCAGTCCCAATTGCCAACATAAACTGAAGACAATCTGTGTAAGGAATGGGGGGGGGGGGGGAGAAACCCCAGTAAGGTCTCTTTAGATTGAATGTGAATAATTGATGCTCACTGAAAAGAGCCACAACTAAAAACCAAGAGTTCTATCTCACACATGACTTGGGTTGGCAATTACTTTTTTGATTACATCAAATACCTCAAGATCTCATGAGGGCTGCTAATCTCATAACCAAGATTGAAAGAGATCTCACATGAGAATACTAGAGTTATAAGTAATCCTTTGTAAGGATTCTGTAAGTAATCCTGTGTCATTCTTTCAAAACAACTGTACAAGGTTTGTGGCTTTCCGTCTTTGCTACCTAACAGGTGCTATGAAAACCAGAGTAAAGGGTTCTTGTCAGGGGTGGGCTGCTGGGGGTTCACAGGGGTTCGGGAGAGCCCCTAGCTAACATTCTGTGCAGTTCGGAGAACCCCCAAATCCCACTCCTGGTTGGCCCCACCCGGCCCACCACGCCATTCCCAGGAGTCCTCACACGGCCCATTTTGGATGCAGGTAAGTGCAAGGCGTGCATGGAGGCTCAGGGAGGGTGAAAAGTGGACCTCCCGGAAGTTCAGGAAGGCCAGAAATGGGCCCTGTTCCAGCTTTCAGAGAGACTCCAGAGCCCGGAGAGCCGTTTTCCACCTCCCTGAGGCTCGAGGAAAGCCCACCATGTTTCAGGAGGCTGATTAGGCCACGCCCACCATGGCCACACCCACCAGCAACCGGACGGAGAACCCTTTGCTAAAATTTTTGAAGCCCACCCCTGGTTACTTACTGTTTGTAGCTGACCATAACTATTAAAATAGCAGGCATGCAGCAAAGGATAATGATGACAGCCAGAGCCAACAAAGCTCCCTCGGTGTAGCCCACAGCTTGTGCCTGTTTTTTGACATTGGCCACCACATCTGGTGTTCGTATTTCCAAAATACGTCCTCCTTGCCCAAGGTATGGTTGAAATTCTTTATTGATATCCAGAAGCTTGCCATCCAGAAATCTTCAGTGTCAAAAGAACAAAACAAGAGAAGAAAGCAAGATCAAGCTAATCTCTATTCTTTTTTAAAGGTGGAATCCATATTAAAAGGTATTCCCTCCCCTTCAGCTTTTTATTTCCCCACCGTGGCTCCTTTTGAACATTTCATCCCCTACCTGCCCTCTCTGTAGTTTCTTTTGATCTGATTTTCATTCTAATTGACCGACGGCAGTAGAGTTGTTTACAGTGTGCCATCTGTGATGATAGACACAGCTTCATAACAAAAGCATGCTGTTCATCTCAAAACAGCAGTGGAGACGATGGGTAATTTTTAAAAACCAGGAACAATAGAACAAAAGAGTATAAAATAGTTCTGGAACAAATCTATTGGAATCATGATGTTGAAAACGTGAAAAGCGATTATATTGCTTTAGAGCAAAATTGCTCCAACTGTTCAAAGACGAGGTTACCAACCATGATTACAATAAAAAGAGCTAAACCGGTGTACCGTTGCAATTAGGCTCTGTGTTATATGAGTCAAAGTAAGTAATGTCAATTAAACTGAACAATTCAGGTGTGATGAAAAGTGGAAAACCTTCTCTTACATAATGCTTGCATGTACTGAATGCCATTTATACTAATTAAGAAAGTGAAATGTCCTTCAGAGAGTTGTAATACACTCTCTTTAAAATTTTATAAGCAATTTATCTACAAATCTCTGTTTCTATGGTTTTTATAGCTTACTATGCTTATTGTAATTCAGATGAAACATGACTTAAAGTACAAAATGAGATGAGGGCCTTTTAAATTTATTTTAGGAAGTCACAATGTCTCAGAAGGTATCCCTCTTTTTTGTACTCATAAAGGATAATGGATAATGTAAGTATTTTTTTTTTTAAATGTCCTAGTACCAAGAATGAAAAAAACATACCATACCATTGGCAAATAAATTTCACTCAATACACAGATATTCTGAATATCTGCAATATATATATATTGCATGTGTGTGTGTGTGTGTGTGTGCACGTGTATACTCTACATGTATACTGTATATGTAGATATACAGTATACAGTCTACAATACACACACACATACACACACAGAGAGAAATCAGAGGAATCCCTTCTTCAGGAAGGATACTTGAAGATCTGGCCAAAAACATTAGACAAAGTAATGAAGGTTTCATCCTGGATGAGCCTTTTTTATTATTGGGGTAAGCAACCATCATCAAATATGGCATGAAGGTTTTCCTTAACTTGCTGCCCTTATTATGATCCATAATAGATACCTCTAGGTTACGACACCTGTAAGTCCTTGAGATACCAAGGTGGCTGACCATCTTTATGAATTAGAGTTGCTAGATAGGTGATAACATGCAATGAATATTAGAGGTTTCTTTTCCAAGGTTTATTTGTAGAAAGAAGCAGCTAAATATGATCTAGAATAGCATGGGACTAAAGAAGTATACAAAACTACCCAGTTTCTGTCTAACAATTATAACATTGTTTTCAATCAGTAGCTTAAACCAACACTCTTATTCAGTGGAGCTGGTTGGAGAGATTCCTTTTCCATGGGCGTTTCCTTAAAATATTTTCCCTCACCTAACCATCAACACCTTGTTGTGTCACAAGGGGAGGGGATTAATCTGAGTCTCCTTAGTCTTAGTAGCAAGGATCAAGATTGTGGCAGCAGTAGAACAATTGAAATTATGCTTAGATCACATTGTGCTTAGATCACATTTTGATTTCTGTATCTTTCATTTAAATTCCTATGCTTCTCCTAACTCACACACAATATATTCTGGAAAACTTTGGCAAAAGGTTTAAAGGTTTTTTTTTTTTTAAATGCAATTTCCATACTCTTGATTTTCAGGTAATTATAGTTTGGGTAAAGAATGGCTTGCTTAAAATTTAAAATTGCTTAAAATTTGGTTTCAGGAAAAAACTATCCTGTAATCTGCAACTCTTACACTGCAAAAACATATGGACTACACAACTCGACCAGGGCAAAGCAATAGACGCAATCTACATAGACTTCTGCAAAGCCTTTGATTCAGTGGTACACGACAAACTACTCCTAAAAATAAAATCTTATGGTATCTCTGGACAACTGAATAACTGGATAGAAGCATTCCTGTCAAACAGACAACAAATGGTCAAAATTGGGAACGCCCTATCAAATCCAGTACCTGTCAATAGTGGTGTTCCCCAAGGCAGTGTTCTAGGACCAACTCTCTTCATAATCTACATAAACGACCTTTGTGATCATATCAAGAGCAATTGCGTTCTCTTCGCTGATGATGTAAAGCTGTTCAATACCACAGACAATACTACTACCCTTCAAAAAGATCTAGACTATGTATCTGAATGGTCTAACATATGGCAACTCCAAATCTCAACAAATAAATGCTCTGTCTTACATATTGGTAAAAAAAATCAGAAAATAAAATACAAGCTGAATAGTCAAGATCTTGTTGATGACCCAAGCTCTGTAAAGGACCTGGGAATACTCACCTCTAATGATCTAAGTGCTAGAGCTCACTGCAACTACATAGCCAAAAAGGCATTAAGAGTTGTTAACCTAATCCTACGTTGCTTTTTCTCTGGTAATATCTCACTACTAACCAGAGCATACAAAACATTTGCTAGACCAATACTCGAATACAGTTCATCAGTCTGGAATCCTTATCACGTATGTGATATTAACACAACTGAGAAAGTCCAGAAGTATTTCACAAGAAGAGTTCTCCACTCTTCTACCCGTTATAGAATACCTTACGCCACCAGACTCGAAATTCTAAAACTAGAAAACCTCGAATTACGCCGTCTTCGGTCCGACTTAAGCATGGTATATAAAATCATACATTGCAATGTCCTACCTGTCAATGAATACTTCAGCTTTAACCATAACAACACAAGAGCACACAACAGATACAAACTCAAAGTAAACCGCACCAAACTTGATTGCAGGAAATACGACTTCAGCAATAGAGTGGTCAATGTCTGGAATACTCTACCCGACTCTGTAGTCTCTTCCCCAAACCCCAAAAACTTTAACCTTAGACTGTCTACTATTGACCTCACCCCTTTCCTAAGAGGTCTGTAGGGGGCGTGCATAAGCGCACCAACGTGCCTACCGTCCCTGTCCTATTGTTTCTCTTATTCTTTTATTTTTCTTATATGTACCCATTTCATATATTCACAACTATGTATACACTTGTACTTATTATCTTGTAAACAATTGACAAATCAAATAAAATAAAATAAATAAATAAAGATGTGAACAAAATGAAAATATGGAAATTCAAATCTCACTCACATCTTTTTCAGTGCAATGGTGACACCAAGGTGCACGTGGCATTATTTTTAGTCTTATTTTTACTGAACCAGAATTTTTTGTTGGAAAAATTAAATATGTGTTCATTGAATAGGTTTTACTGATTTCAACTAAGGCTATTTTTTGAGTAAAAGTGATTTGTACGGACTCAGGGGATAGAAAATTCTCCTCCAGATGACAGCCACAACATATAGAAAAGCTGCTACAGTCATGCAGACCCTTCACAGACAATCTATATCTTCTTTAGGAGACCACAAAGACACTGTGGTATAATCACTGAGTCTTCACTGGGATGTTTTGTAACTGAAAAGCAAGATATAGTACAGTAAAGGTAATCCTTGACTTACAACTGTAATTGAGTCTGACAACGTAAGCTGCAATGGTCACAAAATAGGCCATCATTTGACCAAACTCATTTTTACCAACTTTTTTTGTGGTGTTAGTTACGTAAAAATAGCCATAGTTAAGTGATCCTGTTCTTCATTATGGGTTGGCTTTTTGCTAGAAACTGTACATAAACACCAGTTTCTGCCAAAACCATTGTGAATTGTCACATGACCACGGGGCCTACAAAATTGGGCTAGTTGCTAAATGGCCAAAATCTAGTCATGTGACTGGAGGGGTGAGGCTGGTATCAAAAATTTGAAAGTGGCTCATTAATAGTTTTTGGGAGCTTCCATTGTAACTTCAAATGGTCATGAAGCGGCTAGTTGTAAGTCAAAGACTACCTACAATGTATAATTTTGAGAAACTTTATGGTGATTTCTTCCTCCTTAAAACCATATGTTGTGGTAATAGTGGGGATAAACTTCACTGCTAAATGGCTTTGATATTAATAATTACTGTGCAAGGAAGTTTAAAAATATCAGAGAAAATTTAGAAAACTCAAGAAGCTTTTTTGATGAGAAGTGAAACATCTTCAAGGAAAAATAAAATCCAGTTATCTTTTGAAAAAGCATTTTTGGGACAACCATGACCTGAATGACTAAGAATCTCCACAGACACTGAGAAAATATATCTTACACTATACAGTCTCTTGTCACAGATCTCTGCTTTGTCTTGTTTTGAAGAAAGATTTTCATATTTGTTTAAAGACTAGGAATAGTGGTATCACGAGGGGCATTTTATTATTCCCATATTCTCCTTTCTGTCAAGACTCCATTCCTTGAAAAAAAGTCTAAGAGGCAGAACTTCCTGAGGGACATAGAAAAAGTAACTGAGAAATCTCTTTGTTTTTCCAGAGTATCATGCTATTCTTTGGAAATTATCCTGTAACTGTACAATGGGACAAAAGGGTGACTGAGAACCTTTCAAGGCATATCACTCCAGGATTAAATAAAGGAAAATCCAAGCTGGAGTTAACTTTTTTTTTTTTGTAAATTTTATTTGAGTTTTCACAAAGAGAAAAAAAAATACAAATAAAACATCTTTTTTGAAAGCAGCATAATCCCGGGTTACATTTCTTCGTACAGACACAAATTCAGGTTCATGCTCATTTTTATATTCTATTCCATATCTTATTACTATTTTACATTTTCTGCATAGCTTCTCCCTTCTTTTAATTTTCTCAATTTTATTTTAATTATCTCATCTCAATTCAAATCATTGTATTTATATTTTTTGTCTGTCCTGTTTCAATTATCTATTATCTTTTCTCATTAAACAAAATTTCTCCTGTAGTTACTGAC